TGTGACCTTTACACGGAAAAAAAAAATTCTCGAATCCGGTATATATATTCCGCAATCCGGAATATCTGTATTCCAGAATCCGGAATAATGTACCGGAATCCGGAATATTATATTCCGGGATCCAGAATAATATACCGGAATTCGGAATATTATATTCCGGGATCCAGAATAATATATCGGAATTCGGAATATTATATTCCGGAATCCGGAATATTTTATCCTTAATTCCGGAATAATATCCCACGTAGGAAAAAACGAATGGGCCGAGCTTGGCCCAAGCCCGGTGGCCGGCCTGCCGAACTTCGGGACCCGTTCCTCAACCGGGACCGCGCCAGACTTGGTTGAAACCTAGAATGATAACATCGGGCCAGGTCTGGGCGCCCATCTCGGCCGAGCGTTGATTGCCAGTCGTTGGCCAGGCTCAATTACACATTACTTAATTACATGAATATGATAATATGGGTGATTGAAATACAAGTAATTTAATATTACTCCTCAGCATTCGTAATAGGTTCAACGAGGAAAAAAAATCAATACCGGCATGCGACTGGTGCCGCACTGGCTGCCAAACTGTTCATGGCAATTATCAATAATAACAAAAACAAAATAATTGACATTTTTTAGGATGATTTTTAGTATTGATTGTGCCCTACCTACCAAACCCTAACGCAATCATCGCTGAAAAACCGATTTTGTTAACTTAAAATATTACCCCCTAACGTGGGCTCGAACCCACGACCTCACGACTACTAATCCGACGCCCTAACCACTAAGTCTACCGCGCAATTCGTAAAACCTCTATTTCAAATCGTCCATATTAATTCCATCTCGATTTTTTCGACTTGAATGTTTTATTCAGTTGATAGAAATATTAAGTGATTCAACTATAGTTTAATCGGTAAATTAATTCAATAGTGAATATTAATAATTATTATTATTAATTACAATAATAATTATAACAATTAGGATTACTGTTGAATGACGATTCTTCTTCTTTTCGTAATAATTAGCGAGTAACATGTGACTTCAACACCTACAATGTCACCATTTTTTTACGATTACACCCTTAATATTTTACCCTCAAGTTTCCACCCTTACCATTCAACCCTCAGAATGTCAGTCTTATGATTTTTTCGCCCCTTTCCATTATTGCGATTTGACCCTTACAATTTTACTCTTCAGATTTTACCCTTATGATTCCACCCCTATGATTCCATTCTCATCATCTCACCCTTACGACTTAACCCTTACAATTACACCAACGGCTGGAGCCCAATGACCAAGCTCCGGGCCACCGCTGGCTGAGGCTTGGTTATCGAGCTCCGGCATGCCAATGTCCGGCCAAAGCTGGGCCAGATCTGTCAACCAAGGCTCGGTTACCCGCCTTTCCCGCCAGACTTGGCAAGCCCAGGCTTGTGCCAGGCTTGGCCCGTTTCTCCAACACTGGCATTTCGTACGTGGGAAGGGTTGCTGAAAGTTTGTGGAGAACCACGCGCCTGAATCCCGCAGACGCGCTTGGAGAAATACCTCACAAGGGATACCGACGTCGGTGGCCGAGTGGGCTAGACGCAAGTGTAGTGTGCGAAAGGTTTTGAGTTCGATTCCCCGTGGAACAGAATTTTTCACGAGAAGGCTCCGGCGAGCGGGAGGTTCCTAATAGTAGAGTAACCGCCTGTACCGACATGGGTTTCCTGTAGTTTCCCATGCTACTTCTATGTTCTATAGGAGTGCGCACGCGGTACATTGTAGAATCCACAGCTGCCTGCATAGGGTTGGATAGAGTGTCGAAAGGAGACCCGAAAAGGGCACTCCAAAGGCCGTAAATATATATATATATATATATATATATATATATATATATATATATAC